AGCGGCGCGGCCAGCAGCTGCCGCAACAAGATCAACAACACAATCATCAAGAAGTATGAGGGACGAAAGGGCCACATGTGCGATGACGTCAAAGTCGGCAGGTACGCTACGCCCCCTGACCCCACCACACCCACAAGACCCACACACACCATTGTGCGTGCGGCATGCCATTGTGTGTGGTGTGCGCGTGTGTAGGGCGCTTCTCGAGTCGTGGTGTTACCAGTCCCCCAGCGAGTCCGAATCCTCCTACTGCTTCGCCTCAGCCGGCCAGGACGACGACAACTTCTCCATCGACCGATTCGCACTCAAGCGGCCCTCACAGCTCGACACCGACTGCCCCACAGACTCATGCTTCAGATCCAACCTCCGCTACTTCCGCGCACTGCACAAGCTCGCCGGCCACCCACACACACGACGGCTCTCCATGGCACCCACAGTGGCGCGTGACATCGATGTGGCCGGCCGGGTGGTTTCCGAAGGTGGACTTGACATCGATGGCGTGGTTGGGGGCCTCGTGGCGCCGGTCATGGACTACGCCGGTGTGGCGGACGCGAGGCGGCGGCGGCTGTCGACCCCGACGGTTGAGGACTACCTGGGCGGCTTCACCGAGCGGACGATCGACCTCATGTGTTTGAGGGACGACCCCGACGGGTCGGTGTCGAGCAGCGAGAGGGGGTACTGCGCCAAGGCCGTGCAGAAGATAGCAGACAGTAACCCCGTGACCATGCAGCCGAGGGACAGGAACGGCGCACTCGACCCATGTGTCGACCCCTGCTTCACTCTTGTCGCAAGACGACTCGGAGAGGTAAGTTGCAACCCTTTTCCGCCCCCTTCCTAGACATACATACACGCGTCTGTGTGTGGATGTGTCTGTGGATGTGTGTGTCCGCTCTGCCCACAGGTGGTGGCAGATCGTGGCGTCAAGCACAACGACCCCCACGACAAGGCGATGGGGTCGCTGCTGGTGTCCTACGGCCGGTTCTTCTGCCAGAAGAACGACAACGGCCGATACTGCGGCGAGTACCTGTTCCAGTACCGGGACACACGCAACAAAGTCTCCTACATCCCCGCAAGCAAACGGGACTACCCCGACTGTCGATGCCCTGTTGAGTACATTGGAGGTGAGAAACCCAGACTGAATGAGACAGACCTTGTGTGGTGGACGCACTCTGTGTGTGTGTGTGTGTGCAGATGGTGCGTGTGATGCAATCTGCTTCAACGCCGCGTGTGACTACGACCGTGAGGACTGTTTCTTCCGGAACATGTTCCCCCACGTCGACGAACGCCTCGCACAGACGACCAGGCTCGACACCATCACCCACGTAACCACAACACGCCAGACCAGATCAGACCACGCCAGACCAGACCACAGCGCCATATGACATGTGTGTACTGTGCATGGGCTGGTGTGTGGTTCATTCATTCAGTCGCTGATGAGCCCGTCAGCAGGCAGCAAGGGCAACCCCGTTTACAAGGAGGGCGTGTCAGCCGGTGCCGACGACGCCATCTGCTCGCCCTTCCACCCCAACTTCAGCTGTGTCCGCACCGACTCGCCCATCAACTGCAAAAACGGAATCACTGGTAAAACAGTCAGTCTGTGTGTGATGGGAGTCACAGACACACCCCGCCCCGCCACCCTTCACAAACAAAACACATGGCTCTGTGTGTGTGTCATGACTGATGTGATTAATGGTCAGCTGAGCTGGAAGACAAAGGGTGCTGCCTCGGCCCGCTTTACGAGGTGCTTCGCGAGGCTCTGCGGCTCGACAGCGGCCACCCCGCCCTGCCCTCTCCGCCCAAATGGCAACTCGACCGCTCCCTCGCATGGATAGAGCAGAAGTGCGCCGTCACACTCGACAGGACCTGTGCGCACGGCCTCCGACGGCAGATCGTCAAGACGGGCCTGACGCTGGACAACCTGGACTATGACCTGGTGGTGGACGGGGTGAATGGAACCAAAAAGCTGCCGCCGATCGACAAAGCTCTGCAGCTGGTGATGCAGCAGACGGTGGCTAAGGCGCTTGGGGTGCTGCCCAGCGATGTGATTGAGGTGCGGCTGTGGCCGGGCAGCGTGCACATTGAGATGGCCGTCGATGTGGGGGCGCATGCCAAGCGAGTCAAGCAGGTGAAGGAGCAGATCGATCACACAACACACAGACCAGACCAAAACACCGTCGTGTGATCCTCCTTGTTTGCACTGGTTGCTGGCAGCGTCTGAAGGTCCTCCGTGAGACGGGTAAGCTGGGCTACGCCATCCGTGACGGTCTGGCCGACATGCGGTCCCTCTACGAGTACCGCCTGGCCAAGGACGACAACATCTCCCTCGACCCCGAGAAGACCTACATCACCACCACAGACCGCGTCACCCCCAAGGCCAGCTCGTCAGAGCCCGCGCCGCTGCCATTCAAGGGCACCATTGGGATGGGCGAGTTCCAGAAATCTCTCGCCAAAGAGGACTGTCCCGATCTGGTGCCGCTCGATGTGCCCGAAGAGGTATGTATGTCAGCTGCACTCGATAGATATGTCATGGGCGGATGGTCGCATCCTTCTCTCTCTATGTGTGTGTTGCAGGCGGGCCAGGTGTACAACGTGACGGGCCGCGGCACGAGGGACGGCTCCACGCGCACCATTACCTGCACCCCGACCTACGAGCCGGTCGGCGCCACCATCCCCCAGACCGTCACGTGCGACAACGGCCGGTGGCTGCCGCCCCGCAACACGCCCTTCGTCCTCTGCCGCAAGCCCTGCAAGGAGCCGCCCTACAACGGCACTCAGTACCTCATCAGCGGTGTGGGCGAGGACCACGGCTCCACGCGCACCCTCTCGTGCAACGACGGGTTCGTCCGGGCGCAGGGCAAAGACCCGGAGACGGTCAAGTGCAACAACGGCAAGTGGGCCACACCCGGCCTCGTCTGTGAGGTGGGCGTGGGGTGCCCGAAGGGCGGGCCCCGGCTTGGCGCCAACTACACCGTGGCGGGCAGCGGGCAGAGTGAGGACGACGTGCGGACGGTCAAGTGTGCGGGGGGTTATGCGCCAGCCCCCGGGTCGCCGAGCCAGCGGCAGGTCCGGTGTGACGGCCGCAAGTGGGTGCCGACCGAGCTGGACATCCGGTGCGTGGCGAGGTCCTTCCAGCAAGTCAAGGCCGACCCTGCCCCCTTCCCCGTGTGGGCCATCCTGCTCATCTGCTTCACCATCGTCGGCGCGGTGGCCTTTGGGCTCGTCTCGCCCTGCCTCTATCGCAGATATGTCAGGCCCTACGTCTGGAAGAGGAAGCAGCTCAAGGCCGAACGCGCAAAGGCCATGAAGGGCATCGGCGGGGAACCCACCGTCACCCCCGCACACAGCCAGGTGCCGCCGCCATCGCCCGGGACGACCAGCGACGGTCTGGATGGATGTGTGTGGGAGGAGGGGCTCGACCCAGATGGCAGCGGGGGCAGCGAGCACACCGAATCGGAATCGGGCAGCCACTCGCAGTCGGGCTCCTACACCTACACGTCCTCGTATCTCTCTGGCTCCAGCTACACCCACACCCACACCTACACCCACACTGAGGACGACGGCGGGACCATGACCTACACCGACGAGGGCTCCTCAATCCTCTCGGTGCCGGTGTCTGTCCCCGTATCGGTCACCCACTCACAGCACTCCCAGGCCTCCCCCACCAACCAGAGCACCATCACCAGCATGTCGGGCCTCACGTCCGTCAGCCGTATGCCACCGAACCACCTGCACGTGCCCTCACGTGCAGGAGGCCGTCCCGAGGACATGACCGACACCGAGGACGACCGCACCCGCACCACCGACTACCAGAACGACGCGGCCACGAGGATTCACCCGGGCCTGGTTGCGGCAAATGGCGTCAGGGGCACGGCGGTTGGGGGTGGGGCTGGTGTGGGCTCGATGAGCGAGGCCTCCTACCACTCTTCCGTCACAGCCGGGCAGCACCAGCAGCAGCATGGACGCAGGTCATCGTCTTCGCGCGCTCGCCGGTCGTCGTCTGTGCCCCGTCCCGTCCCTGAGGATGAGCAGCTGACCTCCTTCACGCCTGAGCAGCTCTCCGCCAATGGAGATGGGGCGGGCCACAGCAGGGGCCGCCACGGGCACAGCCACGGCCAGCGGCACCGGTCGTCTTCAAGGACGCGGGAGAGGGAGAGCAGCCGGGAGGGTAGGGGTGAGAGACACCATCGGAGCTCAGGTGGCCATGGCCGGCGGGGTTCGTCTGGCAGCAGGACTAAGGGGTCCAAGACGGGCTCGGAGTACAGTGGATCAGTGTGAGCCAAGTGGAAGGAACAAGGGAATCAGTGCCGTAGGGTGTAGTGGCCACCAGATACCATACCATCAGTCAGTGTCGGCAGGTGTGGTGTTTGTTAATAGAGTGAGTGAGTGAGTGAGGAGGTCTGTGAAGGAAGATGTGGAGAGAGGTTTGCATCTGTGGTGTGGTGTGGTGAAGGTGTATGTCATTTTGTGTGTGTCCTGTCTGTCTCTAGCTAGGCATTGCACGTCTCGGTTTCTTTATCGGCGTGTGTGTGTGTGTGTATCGTCCCGGCTCCACTCCCCACCGCACCGCAGCACACCCACCCCACGTGTGTGCGAAGTTTGACAGGCCGACATGACACAGCTGGCTTTCCTTTCGCGTTCTCCTCCCTAGTACTACTATGTTATGTATTTATTTGTTGATAGCACAGGCAGCTACCCCACCCCACCCCATACACAACACGTGTGCATTGCATGTGTGTGATGTGAATAAGTAGGTGTGTCTACGACAGGCAGATAGAGACAGACAGACAGATATACAGATATAGGTAGGTAGGTGCGTGTGTACGTTTATTTCATTTCCATACTCCTATGTAATGCCGGTCCATGTCCGTGTCTGCGTGTCCGCGAGTGTGTGTATGCGTATGTGTATGTGTGTTGACGCGACCGACGGCCGCCCAAGACGCGGCTGTGCTGTCGCCACTCGCAACATATCTCTTACATAAATTCATCCAATTCGCTAAAGACACGCACGCAATTCTCAGCGATAGAGACCTATATAGGGGTCTCCCCATTCGCGCACACCCCCTCACTGCTGGAACAGCAGCGTGAGCAGGTCATCTATGTCGATGAACACCCCCTCGTCAGCCCTCTCCCTCTCCCCCTCCCTCTCGCCGGCGTCCCTGTCAGCTAACTGCTCCACCATGCTCCTCTTCTCGCCTTTGTCCTTCCTCCTATGCGGTAGGAGAGGGGGTGGGGTCTCTTTCTGTGTGTCTCCTCGAGAGCCGGATGGTCCGCTGTTGCTGCTGCTGGTCACCGTGGTGGTACTGGTGGTGGCTGTGGGTGGCTGGAAGGGGTAAGAGGCGCCGCGTTTCGACTTAGGTGCCTCGGGGGAAGAGGAGGACACATCTGCATACACACGCAGAGACACAGGCAGATAGTGCGGAGTGTGTTTGCGAGACACAAAAAGAAAAACCCGTACCAGCGAATCCCTGAATAATCTCTTCGAATGCCTCCCTGGCCTCCTCAGGCAACTGCATTACCACCGCATGGTGGTGCCGCCGCTGCTGCTGCTGCTGCTGCTGCTGCTGGCGGCCTCCTCCCTCCCTCTCCCTCTCCCTCTCCCTCTCCTTCTTCCTCTCCTCCGCGTGTGGCCTCACAGCCGCCGCCCTCTCCTCACTTTTGGTAGAGTGGTCCACCACATCGGCGTATCGGTTGACCAATGACACAAGATGGTCCACCACATCAGCCGCCTTGAACAGGTCCTCGTGTGCCTGCCACTGACGCCGGGAGAGGTCCTCGTCTCCCGACGACATGGTGTCTCTGCCGTGAAGCCGCTCCAGTGACTGCGTCAGCGTGTTGAGCCGCCGGAGGAGGGCGGCGAGCTCCTGCCTCCTTCCCTGGTGGGCCGCTTCTCCACGCATCAGTGCCTCAGAGACGGATGACAGCTGGTGCATGATCGAGTTGATCCGGCCCACCAAATCGGTCTCCCTCCGTATCAAACCCTCTTTTTCGTCTTGTCCCTCTTCTTCAAAGTCTTCGTCTTCCACCTCTTCATATTCATCCTCTTCCTCTGAGAGCTCGTCGTCCTCGTCTACGCCTTCGTCCCCCAAAATGACGTCAAAATCAACACCAAAGAAGTCAAGACCGTCCAGCCCATCCACTCGTGGGACCTTCTTCTCTTTTGCAGAAGAAAACACACGGGGAGGCCGCGGTCGGGGCTGGGGCGGGAGAGACGGCAGAAGGGGCAGCAGCTCACTCACCGGCTCCCCGGCGAAGAGCCGCTCCAGCCAGTCGATGCACACCACCACCATGTGCACGTCATAGCCGTGGCCGCCGATCTCCTTTCCATTCAGCCATGCAGTGATGTTCTCCATGACGCTCTGCGCTCGCTCCACACGGGCGTCCTGTAGCTTCCGCCACTGCTGTCTTGCTGTCGGTGTCCGGGTGTGATTGCCGTGGCGAGTGTGCTCGATTAGATGTGGTTCGTCCCTTAGGCTCGGTTCGGCCAGGTCGACCAAATCTTCTATCATGGGCCGAGATGCGTTCCAGAGGTCGCTCCATAGCAGGTCCAATGTCAGAGGCGGCGGCTGAAACGGTGGGGAGAGTGAGAAGTGCGTGGGTTCTCTCTCCTCGACTGCTGGACCCAGAGCCGCGGTCACTGTGTCATCGTAGGTGCAGTGAGGGGTCTTCAGAAGGATCTTTTTCCCGCCTTCTAGCAGCACTCTGACCTCCGTCAGCGCCTGCATGACGTCGTGCCTTCTGCCTTCGGAGCACCGCCACTTGCCGTGTCTCCCCGCCCCTCCCTCCCGCCTCATGACGTTGGCCATTGTGATTGCCGGAGAACTGTCTGCCGACATCACACTTAGCCAGTCACAGATGGCGGTGTAGACCCGGTCCATCACTCCCAGGTCGATCATGTTGACCTTGCTGCCGAGATGGTCGCGCCACAAGTGCTTCAGACGCCGCAATACGGCATGGACTTCTTCAAGGCGGCCTGAATGGGATGTCCGTGGTATTGGTGCGAAGGGTGAGGGGCGGGAAGCGTCGTGGTGGAATGAGAGGATCGTGTGGATGAGGGGGCTGGTGGAGGTGGAATTCCACTCGAGCTCCTTCTTGGCAAGAGTCACAATGCGCCGGACTGAATGAACGGACACGGAACGATCCATGTCGTGTCTCCTCTCTCCCTGTCTGCTCTATTGTGTGTACTTTCGGTGAGGAATGGAATATGCTGGATGCCGATTGGCAGTGAATAGGTGTGCTCAATCAAAGCCATCTGCACAAGCTGCTGGATCGCCTGACGAGCCACCGACAACAAACAGAGACGCACACGCATTTCAGCAGTCCGGGCAGCTGGTGCAGCATCAGTCATACCACAATAAGTGCGCGGAGAGGAATGCTCGAGACCACCTGGCCGTCAGAGCCCGACTCGTGCTGATGGCGTGGAAGACAGAGCCGCCAATCAATCTGTTTTACAGCCCTTTCGTATCTCATGCATCCCCTTTCCCTCACCTGTGTGATTTCATATTGTGTGAGGTTTCTGAAGACCAGGTTGGCTACAAGCGCTTCGTCAACACTGATCATACCCACCTCACTACACACAGACAAACAGACTCACAGACGAACAGACTTACACACACAAGAGAGCAACCAAGCGGTTCACACACGTGCCGCCAACTGACCGGATTGCCTCCATTGCGTGCAGGCGGAAGCCTGTTGGAGATCGTCTCACTACCATGACGCTCTCGCCTCCTTCAGTCGGAGACATGGATGGGATCGCATAAACAGAGTCGTCGTCAACAGGCAAACCCGCAGACAGACCCACAAGCGATGCTGAATTGGTTTGGGAAACGAAAGAGGGGCTGGTGTCAGTCTTGGCCGATGAATTGACTGGAGTGTTGGGGACATTTGATGAGACGACGAGGCCGCCCACGTAGAGTCCCTCGCAGCCGCAGAAGATGACCTCGCGGACGAGGGCGCTCGGCGGCTCTACCGTCAGCCACGTCTCACGCACTGAACAGCACATGTACAGTCAGTACACATCACATGGCATAACGGGCGGTTGCGTCTTCCCTGTCAAGTCAAGCTGTGCCTGCGTGTTTGTGCTGACCGACCTACGTGCCAGTCTGAATCGTCCATTCCCACACCCCAGACCGATCTTCGGGGGCCTAGCCTTCCCCACACCTCACAGTTACCGCCATTCGACAAACCATGGCTGCCTTCACGCAGCGGCGTCTCAGGGATCGCCTCATGGGTTGCCGCGGTGCCGTGAACAGCTTGGTGATGTGGTCGTTGTGGTTGTTGTTTTATCATGGCGTCGATCTTGCGGAGAGGCGTCTTGAGGTGTTTTAATGGGCGTGGGTATGGGTGGCTGGATAGACTGGCTGACGGGTAGCGGAAGAGCCACAGCCGCTGCAGGACGATTGGGTGCGAGAACCGGACGGAGGCGAAACTGCTCATCACTTGTGCCGTCTGTGTGCAGGCACACATACACACAGACACACACACACACACACATTCATTGTGCACGTAAACCAGCTGTAATCGCGTATACCGTGTTCAGGTGAGGCCTGTCTGTGATCAAGTCAAGGCGAGGCACGTCTGTGATCAAGTAAAGCCTCAGGGTTGTGACGTCCTTGCCGAGGAAGGGAGGCGGCCGCACGCCCCACGCACCATCCCAATGACACCTGATGGTGCCTGGCAGCCCATGGCAATAGCCGGGAGGCACCTGCATGGACACACAAGAGACACATACATGTGCAGAGTAAAATGGATGTTCGTTGGTATTGCTTACATTATGGCTCAGAAAGGGCACTCGGGTGAAGGTAAGGAGGCCTGAGGTGTAGTTGCTCCCTCTCTGCCCGGGTCCCGTGACCACTTTGCGATTCAAAGGTCTTTCCTCCATCTCATGGCGGATGGACGCCAGAGAATCCACCTCTCCAGTAATTCTCTCCTGCATGCATCCAACAAGAGAGAGACACGAGCATGGGATGTATCCACGTCCAATCGTGTCGGAAGTGCTTGCCTTTCTGATGATTTGTGACGCCAGGTTGCGGTCTTTGAGGAAGAGGGAAGGCAGATCATAGTGCCGCACATACGTCGCCCCTTCGTCACCATCGTCTTCATCGCTCCAGAAGTCCATCTCATCGTCTTCATCGCCTTCTGTGTCCTCATTATCATCGTCCTGCCTGAGACGAGGGTATCGCTCATACAGTCGCATCCTCTCCTCATCTGCCAGCCTCTTCGTCAGCACATCTGCATCAGGCAACACGTCCCGCTGACCGGCAAACACCCGCTTGGAAACAAGCGTGAAATAGTCAAAGAAAGAAGTGAGTGACCCCTCTGGCCGAGACATGGCCATGGCAACGTCATTGCCCTTGGTCGCAACCGTCTGGTGTGGTTTTGGCATCTCCATCCAGTCATGTGCCGGTGAGTCGGGTTGCGACAGCAGGCCGCCGGCGTGATGGCGGGGCGAGGATAGAACTGCATGCGGGGGATGGGTGGCTGACGAGGCGAGAGGTGGACAGAATGGGCCATCACGACTGGAGCAGACAGGATTGGGCATCTCAACCAGATCTGTCTCGGCTATCTGCAATGACACAAAGGGGAAACAACGTGTGTCGGCGTCTGCTTGTCGGCCCTGCGCACCATGATCCTGTCTCGGAGAGCTGCGAAGAAATCGGATGGTCCCTGCGAATGCGCCACTACAAGGCCGGCTCTTACGTAGCGGACAAGAGCCGCAACTACCAGCAGACGAATGCAATTGTCCATCATGAATGGCAATGGATCCATCAGCAGCCCCGGTAGCAGAGACTCGGAGACTGCAGGCCCCCGCTCGGCCCACAGCGCATGCGCATTTTAGAGTTGGTCTGTTTGGCATAGCGGTCTCTTCTGGTGATGAGCCACTGACACTTAATGAGCGGCAGAGCCCTCCGCGTCCATGCAAAACCCTCTCCTTCCCCTCTCTCCCGGCGGACGCATCCACAGCGTTGTCATCACCAGCCAGAAGAACCCGATCCCCGGCAGCAGCCCAATATCGCGGCGGACGAGTGGTCGGGGATCTATGCTCTCTATCTTGAGCGACGGGCGGCTATCTGGGAAGCCCTCAAAGACGAGGCTGAGGACGCTGGGTGACGTGAGGAGCTGGGACCAGCTGCGCTTCTTGATTGTTACGCCGGATGGCGACACCAGGAGCCGGCGTGATTCTCGCATTGCGGTCTCACAAAAGACCGTGCAGAACGAAGAAATGGCTGGTGAGCCTGCGGTGAAACCAGACGAACAAGAGGGCGTCCCAGAAGAAGGGGAAGCGGAAGCGGTCGTGAGTGTCCGGTTTCTGCTGCTGCTCAGCTTGTCGTTTGCCTTCGTGGGTGCTGTGTGCGGAGCTGCTGTACTGTACTTTCGTCTCGGCGTCGAGTGGACTTTTGCTGCCGTCTGGAGTCCGCTATGTGCATGGAACAAGGGCGACGCCCGGCCTTTCTTTTATGTGGTTGCCATTCTCTTGCCCGGCCTCTCCGGGGGAGTCACTGGTTTTCTAGTCGACAAATGGGGTCCGGGCTTGTTGAAGGACAGTGGCATACAAGTCTGCCGCACATACCTGCAACAGAGCCAAGCAATCCCGTTTTCGCATGCCGTGTTGAGAATCATCACGACCTGGCTTTTCCTTGGCTTTGGCAACAGTCTGGGTACGCGAAGCGTCTGATGACGCGCTTATCTGCAAGGACATTGTCTTTCAGGCGTTGAGGGCTCATGCATCACCGTTTCAGCCGCCGCCGCCTCAAGGCTCGGTCGAGCCTTCTCGTCCTCATCGCCTCTACGACCGCCACGGTGATCATCCGTACCCTCAGCCATGATTCCAGCGGCTTCTTTGGTAGATACATGTCGCCATTTACACACGCTAGCGACGCGTCCGCTTTCTTCTCATATCAGTGCATCGAGACGGTCTTGAGCATGATTCCCCCTGGCAGACGGGGGGGTGGATGGCTTTGTCGATCCCAATTGGCCTTCTCGGTGGGCTTCTCGGCCGCCTCTTCGTTACAGTGGCCCACAAAGTGCGGCGGCGCGTGTCGAGGCTGCCATCAGGGGTGGCCATGGCGGCGGCAGGCGGGGTGACAGGAGTGGTGGGAGCCGTCACCTTCGCAGTGACGGGGCATGCCTTTGGTAAGTGGCCGGCTGAGCTGAGCTGTACCGTGTTATATGCGTGTCTGTGTTCAGTATGGGGTACGGGTGAATGGTTTGTGCGAGATCTGCTGGAGGGCAAGTGGGAGACAGAGACATGGCCCGTTGTTGTCCTCTTTATCGGCAAGTCCATCGCAATCACAGCTGCCTTCGCCGCAGGTCAGTCAGATAAACACATACACGAGACACCGATCCAGGCGTCCCCTCACCTGCCTGTCTCATTTGCAGGTGGCTGCGGCGGTCTGTTTTCTCCTGTCCTGACCCTTGGTGCCCTCTATGGGAACCTTATGGCTGCCTTGCATCTCTTCATTTTCAAAGCGGCGGGTGTCCAACACGACTGGGAGCGAGACTACCAGCTTCCTGGCGCCTCTCTGACTATTCGACAGATTCGTCTGGCCGGGACAGTCACCGGCATGGCCAGCCTCTTTGGGGCCGTGTTCAGATGCCCAATAACAGCCATCCTCCTGATCTATGAGATGACCCGTGCGTGAGACACACACAACAAACGGACATCTCATCCTTGTCTTATGTCTCCACACATGGTGTCTTTGTCCTTGTCTCTGTTTCTGTGTCTATGTGAGCAGGCGAGCACGGCCTTATTTTGCCGATAATGATGTCGAGCGTCCTGTCCGTTGTCATCGCCAACCAGCTCCCGAATGAGTCCTTCTTTGATGCCCAGGGAGAGTTTGATAATGGCAGGGAGACCGATGGCAGCAAAGGTAGTACTAGTGGCTCGCTACTGTTCCTCCGTAGCAACCTTACCATGCCCCCTGTGAGTCCGAAAGAACAGGAGAAAGAGTCCTCAGCGGCCGCGGCCGCCGACATTGCAGCTGCGACAAGCAATGACGCACCGGTATGCATCCCATCCACGAGACATGTACACACATACAGGTACATCGATGCAGGCGGGACAGTCCTGCTTTGCTGTGTCTGTCACTCAGTCAGCCTCTATCCAAGACATACGACCGAGTGACCCCCGAGGGGAGCCCCTGTTTGGTGAGCCCCTCAGCCCATCCGCGATCCCCATAGTCACTGAAAAAGATCAGCCGAGTGCTGACCATTGCCAACCCTCTCATGGTGCAGCAGTAGACACAGCGGCATCCGTCAGACGGACGCGGAGCGACGAGAGGGAGAGGAGCAGGGTGTATGTGGTGTCGGAAGAGACACACACAACAGGTCACAAGTGCAGAAAGCAGACGCAGAAAACGGCTTCGTTTGATGTATCGTGATCCCTGCAGGTAGTGTGTCGCTTTGTCCGCATGCAGGACCGTCTGTTGATCAGCAGCTCCGGCTCAGCAGAGGCAAGGGGACGCGAGAGGGAGAGACAAACACTGTGTGAGCGAAGATCTGGGGTGTGCATGTACACGGTGACAGCGTTCACCGGATCTGTTCGTGCATGAATGCCATGGTTGGTTGGTTATTGTGCTTAACGAGACTCGTGCCATGGGGTGATGTTCCCTCTGTTGACGCCTCGAGACTGGGGGCCGCCTGGGGGCACAGCGCGCAGTCTCGAGAAGGAGGGCGATCTGCCAGTGGTCTTATGGGAAGTGAGGGTGAAGACCCACCACATGTACTCGCGTCCGTACGTTCCTCTCATCCTCCCAGACGCGAGGTACCTTCGAGAGATCCATGAGCTGCATCCGAGGCCGGTGACCTCCTCTTTCTCCCCCACCACCCCAGAGGACAGGACGACTCGTCCCGGGGCGGCAATTGGGGCTTCACGAGGGGCGGATACTCGTTCGGGGGTCACTGGCAGCAGCATGGCGAATCCGGGCCCAGGGACAAGGAAGAAGGTGAGTGACTCCAACCACCGGTTCAATCAGCGCTTCAAGCGCCAGTTCATCAAGACAAGGTGCGCAGGAGGGATATGACGAAAGGCATGTGCCAGACATTCACTGGTCCTCTGGTGTCTCCGTGTGTCCAGCATGTGTCCCTTCATGCCCAACTGTCGCTACTCGGTGAGTGGAGCAAGACACCTGCCTGCCTGCAGCCCTCTGAGCTCAACCATCCAATGGCATGCCCTTCACTGTGTCGTGTCCATGCGTGGCGTGGCAGGACTGTCCGGAGCAGTGCTGCTTCGCTCACACACCCGATGAGCTGCGGCCATCCATCAACTTGGATAAAACCGCCATGTGTCCACAAGTCAAGAAGGTGGCAGAAAGCACAGATGAGATGACACACATGCATGCATGCTGCACTGTCTGTGCTCTGCTGTATGTGTAGGGTCGTGAGTGCCGTCTCCCTTCATGTCGCTACGCCCATTCCCGCGAGGAGCTGAGGGCTACGCCGTACTTCGCCAACACCGCCATATGCCAGAAGTGGCTCAAAGGTCAGTCAGTCGGCCATGGACAGAACGACGCCACGCCCTTGCATTGAGCGCCTGATCCATACGCCTTCTCTCTTTCTCCCTCCACCTAGGTACATGCACGCTGGGCGACAAGTGTCGGTACGCCCACGGGTCGACTGAGTTGAAGCCCCGCACTGCAGGCATGCCCAAGGGGAGAATCTCCAAAGACACCAGAGTCCCGAGACACGAGCTACGACAACAACAACAGCAGCAGGAGGAGGAGGAGGAGGACGAGGCGGGAACCGACCCCCAGACACCACCAGAAGGCCAAGCGCAGCAGCATTTTCAGCAGCAGGGCCAAACAGAAGAGCAGCAGCAGCAGGAGGACACCGATGATCATCTGTTTCGGCTCCTTGACAACAGATGGCTCCCTGACAGCGTCTTAGATGATGGCCCCGAATCGCACGAGCCGCAAGCGCGAGAAGGAGAGCAGCGGGGCGGCCAGCGCGACAGTGGGCGGCCCAAGCGCCGCAACACGAGCGACACTCTGACGATTGACATCCCTCCAATCAACCGCCGCAGCAAGGCACGAGACGCCCCGGCACCTGCGGCCGAGGAGGGGACAACGACGACAAAGGAAGAAGAGGAGGGGGCCACCCCCGCCTCCGTCTCACGCGAGGCAGACGACGACATCGCCGACCCGTCCCTGCAGGAGACACTGGTGCGGCCACCCGACGGCAATGTGGTCATCCCGCTGTTCCCCATCCTAGAGACCGGGCCGTCCCCTTCGTCGAGCCCCTTCATGTGGGTGCCGCCGGTGCGGTCGCCGCAGCAGCAGAGCATGGGCAGTAGTCCGTGCCGCATGCCGACCTCCCCCTTCCCGCCGCAGGAGAGGGACTTCACTGAAACGTCGGATCTGCTGGGGGACCTGCGGGATCCGCCCAGCCCGTCGCGGGGCAGCACTGCCAGTGAGTGGAAGAACGAGGACTACCTTGCCATGATAGAGTCTCTGGAACGGCTGACGTCGGAGGACGGTACGTGGGCTCATACATGATGAGCACAGATGGAGACATTAGACAGGGGAGGAGACGTCTCCATCTGTGTGCTGTGCACATGTGGGTGTCAGATTTGCGGGCTGCCGCGCCTTGCCAGTACTACGAGTAAGTAAGTTGGGGTCGTGAGCGGGGCGATAGATAGATAGCAATTGGGCGATACGCGTGGATAAAGTGACAAGTACGATAGAGCGGTCAGCCAGGAAGTAGAGAATTGCTAAGGAAAAGAAGAAGAAGTTGTGGTGGTCTATCGTATTTGTGCCATGTTGAGTAGGCCCTGTGTGTAACAGGCGCACACGACACGCACATATCGGAGGGAGGCAGACTGAACAGGACAGGGAAAGGGAGAAATGGACTTTCTGGAGGGCGGGTGGGTGGGGGAGGGAGTGAGGGAGGTGGCTGGAATTGTATTTGTGCAGTGTTGGCGCCGCGTCCGTATACACACACACACATCCATCCATCCATCCATTTGACATACACTCAGTGTGCACCAGTGCGTCTGTCTATCCACTCACTTTTGACCACATGCAGACGCCAGCCACAAAAAGACATACACTTCTCGAGCCTCGGCCGACCGATGGCGTGTATTGTGCTGTGGGGGAGAGGCACTTGTGCGTGGATGCGTGAGGGGGTGCACTGACATGACATGAGATGACTCGACTGGTTTCCCTTGTCTTTCTATACCAAGGGAGGGAGGGGCCTTGGGGGAGTGAGTACGCTTGTATATGTGTGTGTGGTTTCAAGTGAGAGCGACGTGAGTGCGTCCAGGCACGCACTCACGTCAGGTACGACTGACGTGCAGGGACAGTGAGTGCGGGAGTGATGAGAGACACGCGACACACACACGCACACGCACACATGAGTGATCGATGCAATCAATGAATGGATATCATGCATACAGATTGATGGGTGCTCAATTATCAAGTCTAGGCATCGCGTCACCCATGCAAGCCTACGTGAGATTGTCCCTCCCTCAATCCCTCCCTCCCTCCGTCCCTCTATCTATCGTCTCGCAAATGCACCCACACATGGCACGGCAGCCACCCACATAGACACACACACTCATTTCTTCACGGAGCTTGATTGATGCGGACAGAGCTCACGTATCATTTCTTCTGCCCGGGGATTCTGCACACACACACACACACACAACACAAATAGGGCAGGGATTGGCGCGGCTGCGTGCTTGCTTCTTCTCCTACCTCATATTCTTCCAGGCCTCCCGGTAGTTGGCTCCCATGTTCACGGGGTCGTGTCTGACCGGCAGACGGCCCGGCGCCACGCCATTGACCACACCAACTGCAGGTGCCCAATACACAGCACACAGACACGGGAACGAGGCATGTCCAGCATTCCTGCACGTGTGTCTGTGGGCATGTGTGTGTGTCTACCTCTGCGCATGATGGGCTTGGCATTGAGGGGTTTAGCTTTCGTGTGCACATGTTGGCCATTGGGCCTCTTGCCGCCGACCTGAGGACGATAAAGCAGGGAAGGTGAATCAGAGAGGTGGCGCCGTGTCAGGCCGGTCGGCGAGCATGGAAATGTGGGCTCACCTCTTTGGCAGGAGTCTTGGCCTTCTGCACGTTGCTTGTCTTCTTCTTGTCACCCGATCCATACGACGACATCGGACCCTTCTTGCCAGCGGCTGGCACCTGGGGCTTGGTGCCGCTCGTGACGCCATATCCCACACGGCGATATCCCTCACCACTGCCCACGGCCGGGAACCTGATGGCCTCAAGCTCATCTCGGTTGTAGGTCTGCGCCTGCTTCTGGGCCTGCTTGCGCTTGTCGGGGCTGGTGGAGACGGCCCATGACACCTCATTGGGGAGCGTCTTGCTCTTGACCGATGGCGGCAGCACGTAGAACTCCTCGCTGATTTCGTACTCAGACTGTTTGTGTGTTTTGCTCTTGGCCCCTTGCTTGGACGTGTCAGTGGGCTGGTAAGCTGAGGGACGGAGAGACACATGCAGTCAGTGCAGAGGATCGGGGGAAGGGTTGCCTTAGTCTTCATGGGCAAGATTGTTCACCTGTGGCGCCCTTGGTCCCCATGGTGGCAGGGCAGGAGTTGACTTTCATGCTGGCGACAGGTGTGTGGAATGGGGAACACTCGAGCGACTTGGTGGTGGACTCACAACGGTCATACGAGCGCACACGGCTCTCAACTGAAGGGGAGACACGGCACAGGCACACTGCAAATGATGGAGACGGCCTTAGCTTTCCCCCGTGAGATTGATTCCTGACCCACCTGACTTGGCCTCCTTCCCGCACGATCCCACCGTCATCTTCTCCACGCCCTCCTTGCATGTCCCCTGTCCCTTCCCTCCCTGAACCTCACGGGGCGACACGCTACCCTCTGAGCTTGGCGTCAGGAGCGGCATCAGGTCCTCTTCCTTCTCCTCCTCCTTCCCGCCCGTAGCCGTCGTACCACTGCAAATGCCGCTGGGGCGGGCTGCCGCTGTCCGAGCCTGTCGCGCCGCCTCCAGCTGCTGCAGCTGAATCACATACTCCTCGTCCAGGGGCTCGTAGGTCTTGCCCAGCTCGAAAGGCGCGGGTCCCTTGAGGTACTGATAAGGCGACAGGCAGTGACGCTCGGCAGATGGTATGACCGGGGCAGGGGAGGCAGGCAGGGGAGGGGACATCAGGCAGGACGGGTCATAGTCGCCGTACTCCGACTCCGACTTGCGGAGACACATGATTGAGGGCGCGACACACTGTCCGCGGAGCGGATACGACGCGAACACCGACGCGCCAGCCGACAGCAATTCCGAGTTCAACATATCTTCAACGGGTCGCTTGAACTCGAGACCAGAGAAAGACTGGGAAATGGAGACGCCCCCATGTAGCTCGCAAGCTCTTAGGACATTGCGTGAAACCAATCTCTCGGAGGATGATCCTGCGTTGCATTGTAAGTCCGAACCAAACCAGGCTTTTCGAATAAAGCCTTTTCTGAAGGAATACGCTGCATTTTCCATAGATCAGGTCCGAGATCAGGTCCATCTCAAGGTTAGTCGATGACGGATCATCAGAGATGCAAGGTGGCGTCACGTCACCAAGCACGGCACAGCAGCAAATGAATGACTCTCATCTTCGTGTTTTTTGATGCTTTGATGTTTGCCTTGTCCGCCCAGTGAGTTGTGTGAAGGATTTTGGACATCCATCCATCGCCGCTCACGTATCCCATCGCCATCATGTCGGCACTATCCGCCCCGCCACCGCCACCACCGTCTGCCGCCCAGCGCCGAGTGCACCACGCCCGGCCCTACCAGCTGGACCTCTTCGAGAGGGCCAAACGGTGCAACATGGTGGTGTTCATGCCCACCAACAGCGGCAAGACGCACATCGCCTGCATGACCATCGAGTGGTACCTCGAGCAGCCCCAGCACAAGGACCAGATCGTCATCTTTCTCGCAAACAAGGTCCTGCTCGCCAACCAGCAGCGCAACGTCATCGACGACTACCTCCAGGGCCGCTACTCGGTCACCGTCGTGAGCGGGCAGAGCCCGAGAGGGTCGGCTGAGAGGCAGGGCGAGGCCGCGCCGAGCCGACGGCGGCGGGAGCGTGACACGCAGGATGAGGTCGACACATTGGCAGACAGGAGTGGTGGCGGTGCGGGTGAGGATGAGGACGACGCGTTTGAGGAGGCCGCCGCCCAGGCGTATCGCAAGGAGACCTCCCACGACTGGAGTGAGGTGGAGAGCTGGAACAAGCTCTTCAACAAGCTCACCAAACACGCAGAGGCGGCCGCACAGCAGGATGGTTTACCCGCACCAGCACCCGCAGTGGCAGAGGGTGTGAGCGGCGGTGACAGTGGTGATGCCGTGAGCAGGTTGGCGCAGCTGGAGGCGTATGACGATGCGGAGGAGGAGGGGGTTGATGCAGATGCGGGCGATGACGAGTCGCTCGACCGGGTATTTGTGATGACGCCAGAGGCGCTGCTGCAGAAGCTCCTCCAAGGCATCATCCCTCTCAGCCGCGTGTGCCTGATGGTAGGTAGAGCAAACAAAACACGGTTTGATCTGGCTCGCACGCACCAGCTGTATATCGGTGAACCCCTTGTCTGTGGTTGTGTTGGTCGTGCTGGTTGTTGTGATGTGTGCTGTGCAGGTGTTCGACGAGAGCCACCATCACTCGGGCAACGATGCCTATCGCATCATCATGGAACAACACTACTTCCGCAAACAAGGGGTAGGTAGGTGGGGACACCTCTGGACACAGAAACCAAAGAGCACATGGAATGAATGACCTTCTCCCCGCCCTTGGTGCGTGCAGGGGCGGAAATCGCTGCAGGCCAAGCGTCTCCCCCGCGTCCTCGGCCTGACCGCATCGCCCATCAAGCAAGGAGTCACCGACAAGAAGGGTAGGGGAGGCGTGCTGTGTGTGTGTGCCACCTTCATACATACATATACACATGGAGGGGATAGGATGCCTGTGCGTTTCGTCTGCTTCAGGTCGGATGTTGAACGACGTGGCGTTTGAGCAGAGCGTCAAAGAGGCGCTTCTCGACACCGAGCAAATCTACGATGCTAGGCTGGCCAGTCCGCCAGAAGAACAAATCGACCAATTCCTCACCGTCAGTCAGTCGGCCATCGACTCGACCACCACACCACACCACACTCATTGTCATTGTCGGTGTCATTGTGTATGGCTATCCCCTCCCCTATTGTTTGTCAGCGGTGCAAGACTGTGCGTGCGTACTACACCAACAGTGTGGACCTGAAGGAGCTCCAAGTCGACGTCACCAAAGAACTCTTCGCACCCATCATCAAACTGCTCGAGAAGCCAGACGCCAACTCAGCCTACCGCCCCTCACCCGCACTCGCCGCTGCACTTCCCCTCCCACAGGCACGTCGGCGCCAGCGCACATTCGCCCACTTCAAGGAACAGCAGCGTGAGCGACGCCGGCGCTACCTCCAGATGCTGCGTGAGAGCGACGGACTCGTGGACGAGTCGGATGAGGAGGGAGAGGGGGAGGGAGTGGGGCACGGCACACCAGATGGTGGCGAGAGGAGCGCTGGGTGGCACGCTGCGCGTGTACGGGACTGCGAGTGGGAGTTGCGGGAGGAGCTCATGGACATCATTGCGAGCAGGGATCCGACCCTCAACGATCTGGTGCTGCGGCTGCCGGATCAGCTAGGGCGCATCCAAAAGACACTGCTGAAAATGCTCGACAATCTCGGGGTGAGTCAATGACACAGACACAGGCAGAACGAGATGGATGGACGGCTCGGGGGCTGTGTCGTAGGTGTGGGGTTTCTGTGAGTCGTGCCGCCGTTTCGTGACGCCCCGCGTGAGTGAGGAAGATGAGGTGACGCTTGAGCTGGATGAGGACGACACGGACGACTCGCCATACCGCACCAAGCCACCTGAACGATTCTCAAGTGAGTGACCGACTGACTGACTAATGGGAGTGCGAGGACATTGATTGCATTGAGTGGCTCGTTTGGTGGCTGTGGTTGTGTTGTCAGAGCGTCGGTCCATCGTGTGGCTGTACATCAAGAGCCTCATGAAGGCACGCCTGTAAGCATATAGATTCGTCACATTAGTGCACACACACCCAATGTGCCTTAGGGCCTCCCTACACCCATCACACTTTAGGGACCGTTTCATGTGGATCGGCTGCCACGACCAGCTTGACCAAGCCATTCGCACCGCCAGACGCCTCGACGAGCGGCTGGACCCCCGCTACGAGGCCCTCGCACCCAGGACACAGCGCTTCGCCCGCGTCCGTCACTCGCCCTCACTGCTGACCGAAGACAACAAGTGGGCGTGCGCCAGATGCACCGTCCACAACGACCTCAATGACCCCAGGTGCCCCGTGTGCTATGAGGGGGAGCGGCCCCCATCCCTCGCTGACCTGCTGTCGGCCGACAGCGTCCAGCCGGGCGACCCCGAGGCCTTCATCGACAACTATCTGATGGACATGACCCCGCCGCCACCCCGCCACAGATCCGCCCCTACCCCCTCCCCCTCCCAGCCAAACGGTTTCTCGACTGAGTCGTCGGTTTTCGAGACGGTCGACGAGCCGCTGCGTCTGTTTGTGGGTGTGAAGCTGTTGCTGCTCGAGAAACTAGTGAGGCACCATCGAAGCATCTTCTGCGACCTGTGGGCGGAGGGAGGGGACGGCGCACCGGGGTGCAAGACGCTGGTCTTCTGCGAGACGAGGCTGACGACTCGTGTGGTGTACAAGTACCTCAAGCGGCGGGGCATCGGGAAGCTGGGGTGGATCATGGGCGTCAACGAGAACAGCAAGGACACCTCCGTCATCATGAAGGGTAAGTGGGTAAGTGGGTTGTGTGGTTGGGTCTTCTTTCGGATGGATGGATGGATGGCACACAAACATGCACCACACCACACCAATCTGATCTGCAAACACCTCACCTCTCTCTGTGCACATGTGACACATGTGTGTGTATTGTGTGTAACGATCAGCCCACCGGCAGCGGATGACGCTCGATCGGTTCCGTAAGGACCCCTCAGATCCCAAGGCCATCGACACCATGGTTTGCAAGCCAAGCACTCACAGCAGAGCCAGCCAGCCACGGATACAAACACTGTCTGTCTGTGTACTCACACGTGTGTGTGTGTATGTGTGTGTGTGCGTCTGGCTGTGTGCAGGTGTGCACCAAGGTGTTGGAGGAGGGCATGGATGTGCCACAGGTGGGAAAATAGAGAGCAAGAAGATGGTTCCCCTCCGCTCCCCTCCCCTCCCTCTCAGTGCAATCTGGTGATCCGTTTCGACCCCTTCAAGACGCCCGTGGTAACAAACATGACTGACACAAAGGAAGGGAAACATGCACTCGCCGTCCGTGTGAAGGAGCTACGTCAGTCACGGTGTATGCGCTGTGTGTGTCGCCTACCTACCTATCAGGAGGACATTCAGGGCCGTGGACGCGCCCGGCGCACACCTGCTCTCTGCATACACATCGTACTCAAGGTTGGTGCTGTGTACCAGTCAGTACACAGCCGCCAAACATGCTTGCCTCTTGTTTTTTGATGTGCGTACGGGTGGGTGCCCAGGGTGACACGGGCCACGAGAATCTGCTCGCGAGGACAAAACTCTTCGTCGACTTCCTCGCACAAGCAAGTATCTCACCCCCTACACCGACCCAACATCCACACCCAACATCCACACAGCCGTACACATTTCCATCCATCCATCCATCAGGTGGCCAAGGACACTGACCGCAGGATCCTGGGTCGCCAGTCGCGTCTTCGGCTGGAGTACTACGACGACACCTTCACGCCGAACATCAAGATCCCCACGGAGCATTCCCACACCTTTCTCACAACCGCCCGGTCACAGGACCTCTGGCACGCACTGGCGCAGCACCTGGGGCTGTTCGACGCCCAGAAGCAGGCCACAAGGGCCGCACTGGTGCGGCATGACCGTGACAGGGGCCTGGAGTGCTACCCCCAGTTCAGCCTGGATCAATTTATCGACGTCAAGAGAGAACAGGCGCGTGCAGAGGAGAGGGAGGGATTGTGAATGGATCGTGGGTGGGGTGGGTGTCAGTCAGCATGACAGACATGTGTGTGTATGTGTTGGGTGCGTGCGGTGCAGGGGAAGGTGGTGGTGAGGATCCCTGCCTTCAGGTTCCGCACGCGGCTCCAGACGGGCGGGGGCGCGCCGGTGTTCGGGTGGAAGCAGACACCGGCACTCGAGTTCTCCGCCGAGGTCGACTCGCCCAAGACCGATGACGCGCGCAAAGTGGGATGCGTCCACTTCATCAAAAAGATCTTGGACGTCGGTCGGCACGGCAGCCAGCAGACAGACAGAAATACAGACAGACAGACACACAGGCCCTTCCAGCTGACTGTTCATGTCCTTGTGTGTGCAGCTGGGTGCCTTGGACGAGTATCTGAAGGTGCACCGCCCGCCCAAGGCGAAGCGTCCGGAGAAGGCCTCCCGGTGGGACGACTACAAGGATGGCGACGCCGTCGAGCTGCTGTGGCGCGAGCTGCCCCTGTGCCTGATGCCGCCCACAGAGGACCAAAGAAAGTTCCTCAAGAGGCAGCTGCCGAGGGACATGCGCAAAGAGTGGCAGCCTATCGCCGTCGACGCACTCTCGCCTGACATGCCGCCCATCCGCCGAAGGTAGGTGACGAAGCGAACCCAGCTGCCCATCCATCCATCCATCCATCTGTGTATATGGCACGTGTGCAGTTTTGAGCTGGTCGAGTCCCCCGAGGTCCGCCCTCGCGACACGCTGGGCGCCTTCTCCTACAACAACGTCGCCTTCGTCCCGGCGGCCGGCAGTGATGGCCTGCAGATGGCCAATGGCGTCTGCCGGAGCGTCGTGTTGTTCGTGCACCAGGTGTGGTATCGGCCGGTGAGTGCGAGCGCTATGGAGTTCCTGGCGGGCGGACACATGGGCAGATGGAGGGGAACAACCAAAGCAGGACAACAGGTAGGCAGGGAGGGAGGGAGGGAGGGAGACACAGAGGGTGACAGATGTCATGGTGGGTTCTCTGTGCATGACGTGAGTGACAGGTGCTGCAGCCATTGGGCATCCTGTTGCCGCGTCGGCTGCAGGAGAGCATCACCTTCGACGCATTCCACCCATACGACGGACAAAAGGTGGGTGCACAGCAGTGAGTGGGCTCTCTCACAGACCCCCTTCTGTCCGCCCGTCTGTGTGTCTGTGTGCCTGTATGTGTGTGTGTGTGTGTGTGTGTGTCAGGTGGTTGTGGAGGTGCGTCCCGTTGGTGAGGGCCGGCCGTTTTCTGTGCAAGAGATGCACACACTGGGGGTATGTTCCAGTATGATGCCCCACCGGGGACCCCACCACACGCATCTCTGTCTCCTCCCTCCCGAATGTCAGAGTTTCAAGGCCCGTTACCTGCGGGAGCTGAAGATCCACAACTTCAGCGTGGACCAGGTGGCCAAGAAGATGCCCCCCTTCCAGCGCCTCGACGAAGCCGACTCTGACCCCGTCAGGTCCTGCCAGCCCTTCTTCTACCTCGCGCCACTCGACCACTCGGGCGAGCTCCCCGACATGCAGTGGACCGAGGGTGCCCTGCAGCTCTCTCAACCGTCAGCACTATCACTATCATCAACCAGAAGAATGAACTTGGAGCGGGTGATTCTATGTGTGTTGTGTGGTGCTTGTCTGTTCAGTCGCGAGAACCCCACCTACGCGGCCATGTTTGAGGCCTACTCCGAAATCTTTAAGCAGTGGCAGCGGACATCCGACCAACACGCACTCATGGACCTGCTCACGGCCTTCGAGCAGCGACTGCAGCAGCAAGACGAGCAAGACGCAGCATCAGAGACCAGCCCAGCAGTATCAGCAGCGGCATCAGCACCATCACCATCACCGCCAACCGACCCCGAGAGTGAGAGAGAGCGCCAGACGCGGCGTCGCGCCGGTCTGGCGCTGCTGCACCTGATGCGCCGTGGACGTGAGGACCCCGTTGCGCAGATGAAGGATAAGAGATGGCAGTTTTCCCGCGTCAAGGACGTCAGATGGGGGATGGGGCCGGGGGATGTGCAGGAGGAGGATCTGTCGCCCGCCGCTGACGCGGGTGACGGGGCCGACGGCCGCTTCATGCTCGAAGTGGAGAACATCAGACAGGTCCGTCCGTCCTGTCTGTGAGGGAGGTGGCGCGGATGTCATGCAACTAACCTGCCCTGTGTCACGTCACGCTTTTTGCAGGGTCCGAAGAGGGTTCTGGATCGGCTCCCCCCTCGACCGCCACGCTCATACGACCGGTTGGTAGATCAGATCGGGCACACGTCCATCCCATCCACCCTTGCGCTGCGGGTGCAGCTGACCTGACCATCCCTTCCATGTCATGTCAGGTACCAGCGGCCCGACAATTCGCTCTTCTACCCGCTGACGGCCTCCATGTACGAGCAGCTGACGTGGACCCCAGCCACCATCTTCAAGACAGAGACCTGCGGCAAGGCCCTCGACGTCAAGGAGGCCCTCGTACTCGCATCGCGCATCCGCATCGACGCCCTCCGCCTCTTCCCCTCCCTCAACTTCAAGAACCCCATGTACCCCGAGACACACGAGCGGCTCGGCATGCCACCAAGGCCACCGAAGCCCACACCTGACAACACAGAAGAGGCCAACACCAGCAACACCAGCAGCAGCAGCAGCGGTGCTCATGCAGCGATCCGTGGGGTGGAGGAGGCGTCCGTGTGGGACGAGGGGAGCCGGCTGAGCGTGCGGTGGAGCGGTCGTGTGAGTGACTTGTCGTTTCCTCTGCTGGATGCGTCGAGTGTGGTTGAGGCGCTGACGGCCCCGTCGGCCATGGAGACCATCTACGCGCCCGAGGAGGGGCGGGAGGACGAACCATTCAACTACCAGGTGAGTGTGTGACTAGACAACTAACTGCACACGAGGCGGCCACACACATGGCACATGGTGGGATGCGGGATGTGACTGCTTCCTTGTTGCAGCGGTTGGAGTTCCTCGGCGACGCCATTCTGAAGTTCCTCGCGTAGGCACGATGGATGCCCGATGGCTGGATGTCCCGCCATTCTGTGCTCTTTAATGTGTTGTATGGTGTCAGTGTCAACTACGCGTGGGAGATTTTGCCTGGCGAGTCCGAGGAGATCATGTCCTTCTACGCCATGGCACTCCAACGAAACGCACTGCTCAAGTCAGAACACTCCACCCACCCACACACACACACAGAGTTCCGTGTGCATGTGGTCTCTCTCTGATGTGTCTGTCCACCAGGAAGCATGTCCGCCGGACCCGTCTCCACTCCGCCCTGCACACCCGCACCTTTGTGGCCAAGAACACCCGGCTGACCGACCTCCGCTGGGGCCCCGTCGCCTTCAAGACCCAGGCGGACATCATGGAAGCGCTCATCGGCGCATTCTACCTCTCTAACCTACACCAAGACACCACCACCCCCATCGACCCACACAACCACAACAACACCAACACCCCCCTCCTCATGAACGGCGTCGACCACCATAACCACCCATCGAGCGACGTCACGGCCTCCCACGACGTGCGGTCTGTCGGCTCCCCCGCCGCGATTGCAGCCGCGGCTGCCGTGGCCGATTCCATCCTGCAGACCAACTTCCTCACCTACGTGGCGCGGCCATCGCTCTTTCCCGCAGACATGACCACACAGACCGACTCGTGGAGCCTGGAGCGACCTGGGGCGGATGCGCCGGTGCGTGTGCCCAGCGAGCCGCTCTCTCTCCCTCACTGGGACCCATCGCGTGGCGACCTGGGCGGTGAGGGGGCGAGGAGCGAGAGGGAGGAGAAGGTGCTGGACCGTGTGGAGGCGGCGTGGGGGTACCGTTTCCGCAACAGGGGGCTGCTCAAGCAGGCTGTGACGGTGCGGGGGGAGGATGTGTCGGCGGGCAGGGACAGCATGGACCCTACGGTGAGACAACACCTTACACACATACACAGATAGCCCGACGGACAAACACGTGGAGCGAGTGAGTGAGCGATGTGTGTGCGTGTGTTGCGTGTGTTGGCCGATTCATTCATTCGTTCAGGTGTATGGTTCATTGGAGCGTCTGGAGTTCCTCGGCGACGGGGTGCTGCAGGCGACTGTCACCCACTGGCTGTACCTGCTATTCGACCGCGTCAAGGAGGGGCCCCTCACACGCGTCCGTTCCGAGCTTGTCCGCAACCGATACCTCTGCAGGCGCCTCTGTGCCAAGGCAGTGGCACTCGGCCAGCAGTCTTCGGTGTTGGATCTGCTGATCGTCAACAACGCCCAGGTGCGTGAGCATCTGTCCGAGTTCGAGCGCAGCATCTACCGCCCGTCTGCGGCCAGGGGTGAGAGGGACTTCCTGCGGCCAGTGACCAAAGACGAGCAGCGACAATTCGACTTGGAGCGGACACAGGGAGGCGGTGGTGAGGGCGGTGGGGGTGGGAACCGGGAGGAGGAAGATGAGTTCCAACGAAAGATGTGAGCGAGGGTCGGGCAGACGGGCAGGCACACAGGCAGGCAGTTTCTGATGTGTCTGTCGCATGTATCATGTGTATCATGTGTGCATTGCGTGTGGGTGGCTGTGTACTGACTGCAGGGCGAGTTTGGACGACAACCATCCCAAGTCGCTGGCAGACGTGTATGAGGCCCTCGTGGGTGCGACCTTCCTCGACCTGGGCGGAGACCTGCGGGTAGGCAGGGTGGGGGCCGCACTCACTCTCCTGCATTTGATTGCATAAACACACCAGAGAGAGGTGGCATTGTCTCGTGTGTGTCTCTTTGTGTGTGTGTTGTGTTGTGTGTCGATTGCTGACCCAGTCGACGTGGCGTGTGATAGGTGGGGATTTCACCATGTCGTATGAGGCCGCCAACGAGTACCTTGAGGAGGAAGATGAGTGAAGTGACGAGGGACAGGACAGACAGACCAACACACAGACACACAGGCATGGTATGGCGCGAACTAGATGGAATCAATGGGGTGGATGGTGGTGCTGGTGCTGCCTACGGTGAGGGAATACACCACACAACGTGGGCGGCCATGGTGGTGCATTCGTGCCTTGTATGTATCGTGCGGGCCGGGCCGGGCAGCGTTGAGACTTAATTGCGTGACTGATCAGACAGACATGTACAGACACACCTTACCTGCCTGCATGTGTGGGGCTGCCAGTGTGGCTGCCTGGCTGACGGACGGACGGACCTCTCTTTCATTAGAATTCATTTGTCAACTATCTATGTCCACACTGCGATGGATGACACATGACTCAGCCAACGGTCGAGCAGTCAGTGTCGAGTCATCCTGGGCAGAGGAGCTCTCTACAGCTAATCTTCCCTGGATGACTGCTGACTATCCCTGACAACCATTCTTGGCTGCTTTATCACCGTGTCTCTCTCCCCCCCTCTCGAGAGCGGCACACAAGCCAAGCACACCGTGTGTCGGCCTACTGGTCCCTTCATCGCCCCCTCGGCGGCTGGCTCTGCGGACGCTCGCGACGACAGCAGCCGCAAAACCAGCCACAAGACGGACGACAAGGACCAACAGATTCCCACAATGCACACGATCGACGTTCACTGAACACACCGCTAAATAACGCTCGCAACACCGCACGTAGCCAACCCCCCGTTTATCGTTGCTCCCCTGCCCCCCTCACGAGCTGCATCGGCACAGCGGGCGGCACAAACACACGACCCACACCACCACCACTACCACCAGCTTCATCCAGCAGCCTGTCAGGAGCAGCATCAGCCTGCGGGAAGGCATTGCTGAGGGTGGACAGCTTCAGGCCGAGGTCGTGGTGGCCAGACTTGGCGTCACACGCCTCCTGCTCAGCTCGCCGAGCATCCTCAGCTGCACACACACATACACACACGCAGATCCACACATAGTACTAGGGAGGGGAGATGTGTGTGCGGTGCGCATAGGTGGGTGGCTGTGGGGTGGCTGTGGTGTGGTGTGGTGTGATCATTCTTTCTTCATTTCATTACATACCGTCGAATGCCTTGCGTATGTCGTCCGCCATGGTCTCGATCTTGAGCACCTCATCCATCGTGAAACTCTCAAGCAAACTATCACACACACACACACACACAGATAGAGCCAACGCAGCAGCACATTCCCGCGCACCAATGTTCACTAGTGCTCACTCACTGGTGGTATTTGGCGGTGGCGATGGACAGTGCCGGTGTGATGTGTCGCGTGAGGGCGTCCCGCACGATGTTGAAGCGCATCCGCCGCTCGTAGATGGGGGGCGTCTTGCGTTTGTACCGCTTCCACAGTCGCAGTGCGCGCGGCTCGAGCTTGAGAGCGTTGAACTTGACGTAGTAGCCCATGGTGACGAAGAAGATCTTGTCGTAACTCATCCCGTACCTCGTCTGCTTGTCGTCAGGAACCAACTGCACTTAGCACACAGCGAGACGGCACAGCACAGCACACAGCCACATGAATGCGCCAGCCTCCTGATTGATGTCACTTACAGTACCTACCTTCTTAACGGGGGAGCGGTCTCTTGGAGGGTAGTCGACATGCACCGGCCGCTTCCTCGCCTTCTGCAGCATGATCCACCGCCACCCACGCACCTGGTGCAGATTGTTGCCCTTGGTCGCGTTGCGGTGACGCACACAACCGACGCCATTGCCGAGACTCACAGGGCACCACCTGTCCTTGTCGAGAGTGCCGCGCCTGTCGAGAGCGGGGCTCTGCAGAGATGGCCGCGTCACGACAGTCGAAAGGGCACGCGAGACTGCTGCTGCCTGGGGAGGGCCGCATGGTGGTCTGCTGGCCGGCGGGATGCGAGCGTTCCGCAACCCATGCGCTGCTGCCTGCATTGGTTGATTGGCTGAGGGTCACTCACAAGAGATCTCAGAAAGACGAATCTGCCGCTAGATCTGGCCTGGCTCTGGCTCTGGCGGCGGGCGAAGAGGACGGACAAAGCCCTCAAAATCACGCGGCTGCGGGAGGGGTTTCGCGGCGCCCAGAGATGCGAGCTCAGCTGCGAGCTTGCAGCCAAATTTTCCCCCTCGGTTTGAAGGCCTGGTAGATCTGTATCGCATCAGCATGAGTGACCGTGAGAGAAATGGCCGTGGTCGTCGAGGCGAAGATGAGCTAGACGACCAGAAGGGCGAGAGGAGGGGCAGGCGTGAGCGTGATGAGCCGAGCCGAGGGCGTGAAGGCAGGTCTCGCCGCGACGAGGATGATGCCGGTGATCGGAGGAGGGGGAGCAAAGGTCGCGGCCGCAATCGCAAGGACAAGGATGTGAGTGGCAGCAGCGGGAGTTCTGACAGCAGCAGCAGCAGCAGCAGTGACGAGGAGCAGCGCAGAAGACGCAAGCGAGACAAGAAGCGGCGGGAGGAGAGGAAGCGCAAGCACCCTGACGACAACCAGCAGGGGCAGGAGGAGGGCAGGACGGCAGACAAGGCGGCGGCGGCGGCAGCTGATGCCGCCATGATGCCCCCGCCACCTGTCCCACCTACCGTTGCGGCATCGGCATCGGCATCGGCAGCAGCCAGCAGCCAGAGGGAGGACACACAGGAGCCGCCCAAGAAGCGCAGGATCGACGAAGAGAAGGACCGGGACAAGGACAAGCAGCCAGACGGCCCCGCCCCCGCCGTACGCGACGCGCTCGACGCCCCTCCCGCTCCCGCAGCTGCAGCCGAGAGGTCTGCAGCAGCAGCTGCGTCGTCAGCGATGAACGGCTCTCCCCCTCCGCCCGAGGAGCGTCGTCGCGCCCAGCCGCCGCTGAGTCGTGACGAGGAGAAGGAGCTGGACGACTACAAGAAGCGCAAGATATCCCATGTAGAGCTCGAGTCGCTGGGCCGCACGGGCGGCGTGTACATCCCTCCGTTCAAGCTGGCCAAGCTGCGGGAAGGTATTGGCCAGAAGGAAGAGTTCTCGCCCGAGTTCCAGCGAGAGGCTTGGGAGGCGCTGCGCAAGTCGCTCAACGGGCTGGTCAACAAGGTCAACGTCAACAACATCACCAACCTTGTCCTGGTACGCACGTACAAAGCGGCCGACACAATGAACGGGGTTGAAAGGGTGGGGGGCACATCGATCACATCGGCCGGCCAATTCTCAACTTCTGTCTGTCTGGTGTTGTGTGTGGTGCGATGTGATGCTGCCTGCGGTGCTTTCCTCTCAATCCATCAGGAGTTGTTTCGCGAGAACTTGATTCGCGGTCGTGGTTTGTTCGCCCGTTCGCTGCTGCGTGCGCAGATGGCGAGTCCCGGGTTCACCCACGTCTACGCGGCGCTGCTGGCGGTGGTCAACAGCAAGCTGCCCGCCGTGGGGGAGCTCATCATCAAACGCGTCATTCTGCAGTTCAGGTAGGTAGGGCGAAGAACAAGATAGAAACATACATACACACGTGTCGTGTGCCGCCCATGGGTGGATGCTTGCTTGTGTGGTGTGGTGTGGATGGGTGTGGGTTTGTGCAGGCGCGCGTACCGTCGTAACGACAAGATCGTTCTGCTCGCCGTGATCAAGTTCCTCGCCCACATGGTGCAGTGCCTAGACACTCACACACACAGAGGACACACAGAGCGCACACAGAGGACACAGAGAGCAACAGGCACACCACGCTCGGCTCGGCTGCACTTGTCTGTCTGTCTGTCTGTCTGTCTGTGTCCGTGTGTGTGAACCCATGTGGCATTGCATCAGGTGAACCAGAAGGTGGCCAGCGAGCTGCTGGCGCTGCAGATGGTGACGCTGCTGCTGGACGAGGTGACCGACGACAGCTGCGAGGTGGCCGTCGGATTCATTCAGGAGTGCGGACAAGTGCTCACTCAAATCGCTCCACAAGGTCAGATCTGATTCCTTTCTCCCCTCCCCTCCCCTCCCCCCCAGACGCACACACACATGCATCCATCCATCCATCCACCGCTGCGTGTCTGTCGTGTTTGTCACTCCCTCCCACCAGGGATGCACGCGATCTTCGAGCGTTTCCGGGCGATATTGCACGAGGGCGAGATCGACAAGCGCGTGCAGTACGTGATAGAGAAGCTGTTCGAGACGCGTCGCAAGCAGTTTGCGGACTTTGTGGGCGTCATCAAGGAGCTGGACCTGGTTGAGGAGGACGACCAGATCACTCACGAGATCGACCTGCTGGACAATGAGATCAAGGGCGACGAAATGCTCAACATCTTCAAACCCAAAAAGGCATCGGTCAGTGAGGGAATGAGACAAGGAGCCAGCCGCCGAGGGGCGAGGGAGGGACTCTTAATTGATGGCATGGCACCATGACTGACATGTGGGTATGTGTGTGCAGGAGTACAAGGCTGAGGATGAGGAGTGGAAGCGCATCTCCAAGGAGATACTCGGCGAGGGCGATGAAGGTCCGTGGGCACAGACAGACACACACACACACACACGCGTGTCGCATCCATCCATCCATCCACATGGGTCGCTCGCTGTGCCTGTGCGTATGCCCTCCATTTCATTTGTTGGCTGGTCAGGTGGCGGCGAGGGGTCTAGTGAGGATTCAGAAGAGGATGACGAGGGCGAAGACGTCAGCAAGCCAAAGACAACCACGCACTCACTCACTCACCGCACAACAGACGCTCTGCCCTTGGCTGTGATGTGCTGGTGGTGTGCAGGAGGAGATGGAGAAGGCGGCGGAGAAGATCGTCGACTACACGGAGCAGGACCTCATCAACCTCCGCCGCACCGTCTACCTCGCCATCATGTCCTCCCTCAACTTTGAGGAATGCGTACACAAACTCATGAAACTCAACATCAAGGTACGGGTCAGCTTGTGAACCATCCCTCCCTCCATGCACCCGCTAGTAGTCAACACGAGGGCGGGGCGGGGCGGATGTGTCCGTATCCGTGTGTGGTTGTGGTGTGCAGGAGGGTCACGAGATGGAGGTGTGCACCATGCTCATCGACTGCTGCGCCCAGGAGCGGACGTTCCAGCGGTTCTTCGCCCTCCAGGGGGAGCGGCTGTGCCGCATCAACCAGGTCTACCAGGAGGCATTCGCCGAGTGCTTCGTCAAGCAATACCAAACGGTGAGTGCGCGAGGGGCGGCATGGGCTGGGCGACAGACACTCTCACAAGGCACACGTGCATTCCGTCCCGTCCCCCCTCCTGTCCTGTCCTTTCCTGTCCGTGTGTCTGTCTGGGTGCGGTGCGCAGGTGCATCGTCTAGAGACCAACAAGCTGCGCAACACAGCCAAGTTCTTCGCACACCTCATCTACACTGGTCAGTCAGCTGGTCAGGGAGGAAGGAAGCACTGGGGGTCCCCCTGACCACTCACTCAGTGGGGCTGTGGTATGTGTGTGTGGTGTGGTGGTGCAGATGCGTTGCCGTGGACGGTTCTGATTCACATCCGTTTGACCGAGGAGACCACCACCTCTTCCTCACGAATCTTCATCAAGATCCTCTTCCAGGTGCGGTGCTCTTTGGGCTGGCCGGCTGTGCTTGGCATAGCACGGCACACTCTGCGTGTGGTGTGTCCTGTCCGTGTGTGTGTTGCGGCAGGAGTTGAGTGAGCATCTGGGTTTGGCCGAGCTCGACAAGCGACTCCAGGACCCCACCATGAAGCAATACTACGACGTAAGTAACCACAGTGCACCCCCTCCTCTCTCCTTTTGATGTGCCTGTTTGCACTGCACTGTGTGGGTGTGCCTATCACATGCATGCCATCCCATGCAGGGCATCTTCCCGACGGATCACCCGAAGAACATTCGGTTCGCCATCAACTTCTTCACGGCCATCGGTCTGGGGGGCCTCACCGAGAGGCTGCGCGAGGAGCTGCAGACACAACAGACAGAAATGATGAAAATGAAGATGAAAATGCAGGCCAAGGTAAGTAAGGTGGGCTGGCCGAACACGCTCACACAGACGGTCGACGTGACAGACAGAGCCCATGTCATGTGTGTGCAGAAGGAGGAGTCTTCGTCCAGTTCTTCCTCGAGCAGCTCTGACTCGGACTCAGATTCGGACTCGTCCAAGAGCAGCAGATGATCTCATCTTGTTGGGCGAGGAGAGTGTCGTGTTTCAATGCCGGCAGGAGGGTCGGGGTGGGGTGGGGGTGACTTCGTTCATGTGTGTCCGTCCGTGTCTCTGCGCGTGTGCGTGTCTGAACAATTCCGATTGACGGTGAAGGGGATTTGCCGTTCGTTGCCTTTCTCACATCACGCCCGTCATTTTATCTATCAGCAGTCCACCGGTCGAAACACATCACACCACATAATTCTAGCTTTGCACAACGAAAAAACACTTCTGCAGCCCTGCACACCTGCCTGCTGAACCGACTGACTTGCTCGCGTCCGATCCTAAGTGTCGAGCCAAGTCCAGTCAGTCCCTTGAGCGAATTAGTGGGTCGACCCCCAAGTGAGACGGGCAAGGCAAAACCACCAGCAAAGGAAGGATGACTGTACATGCTAGGTGCGGTGCGGGGGGGCATCGTATCAAGAATGTGTGTATCGTATCGATACTATGCCGCCCTGTCTGTCCATCTGTCGTACCCATCAATCCACAGGGAGGGATATTGTATAGATGGTTGGTTGTATGGCCGTCGCGCCGCCCCGGTGGTGCTGAACGGACGGCATCGGTTGATATCAACGCAAAGCTGAAGGCGAGAACCACACACACATTGACAGACAGAGAAGAGTCTTTGGAACGTTCACATGTCACAGTATATTCACAGCTTCTTTTCGCAAACAACACACAGCCGTACAGCCTCGCGTCTCTCCCTCTCCCTCCCTCTCAATCCCTCTCTCTCTTCACAGCTCTCCCCCTCCCTTGCTCATCCCCATCCCCCCACCTTTAGAGCAAGACGCCGGCTTCACCGAGGAACTCAGCTTGACGCGCCACAGACTCTCAGTGCCCGTCATGTACAGGTAGCCATCCGCCCCAATGTGAGCGTTGGACACCGGCACGCCGATCTCGATCTTGCCCAGCACCTTGGAGCCCAGTGTCTTGTTGATCGGCTCACCAGCTGCGGTGACCTCCCGCTCGTCGCTGCTCGGAACCGCCTTGGGGTACCCCTTGGGCGGGGCGATGACGTAGACGCCCGACGGCCCCGATGCGAAGATGGTGCCGTCTGATGCGATGTCCAGCCCATCCACAGACCCCCCGTCCTCGGTCTCCGTTGCGGTCTTCCTCTCCTCTGTGTCGACCAGAAGCATGGGCTCGCCCACTGTGAACGGCTTGGTGGACTTGATCTCGAAAGCCAGCCACCGCATGTCGTTGCCCGACTCGCCGACGTAGAGCCACTTGCCATCGGGCGACACGCCGATGCCGTTGGGGCGGCTGATGTGCTGGTACAGAAGAGTGGGGGAGGCGGGGAGGGACTTGGGGTCCTTCAGGGCCTTGGCAGCCACATGGTAGACGCCGAAGAAGCCAAGGTCGGACAGCTCGTCCTTGTCCTCTCCGCCCTTGGGTGTGAGGCCATAAGGGGGGTCGGTAAACAGCAGGTCGCCGTCACACGTGAAGGCCAGATCGTTGGGCGAGTTGAGACTCGTGCCGTTGAACTCGGTTGCAATGGCCTGAAAGGCGGAGGCAGGGACGGTACCGTCCTCAGAGACCTTGCTGATATCCAGCCTCGCCACTTGCCGCAGCCCGTGCTGCGCGAGATAGAGGTGCGAGTCCTCCTTGGACGGGTGCAGCGCCAGCCCGTTGGCGCCCACTTCCTTCCTGCCGCCGTCGCCCAGCGCCACCCCTCCACTCTCGAGCAGGAATTCCGTCACGTCGCCCTCCTGGTACAGGCGGACAACGGCTTCCTCAACGTCCGTGAAGAGCACGCCCTTGAGGGAATCCACCCACAGGGGGCCCTCCGTCCACGAGTAGCCCTCTCCCACTAGCTCTGGCTTCTTGCTGGCTATAAGGCTGTCGAACTTTTTGTCAAATGACACGAGGGAGAGCTCGGCTGCCGACAAGGCGGGGATGGCGAGAGAGATCAAACCCGGCAAAAGCATCATGATCGGCTTCGGCTTCGGCTCCTGCTGCTGCTGCCGCCGGCACCGTTGCTCAGTCCTGTGTTCTCGAGGGAAGCCGAGGCGAAGGTCTTCAACGACACTCAAGGAAGATCGGATTGGATGAGGGCGGCACGTCACGCCCAGCGGGGGGAAAAAGAGGAGGGGGAAAAGAGGAGCGAGAAACGCTGGAGGCGCGAGC